GCTGCGACGGGGATCCGTACGTTGCCACCTCCTCCTTCACCGACATTTCCGCCTACGTTAGCACCGACGCCAGCTACCAGCACCCCAGCACAGACGGCATCAACAGCAACGAGTACGGGGCCACATGATGAGGTAGATGCCACAATGAGCCCACCCGCGCCCTGCCTGGGCACAGGGCCAGCTCGCGACAGGCGCGGGGGGCCCACCAGCGTAATAGGTACCCTTCCCTCGACCTTCTACCACTCCCCGCCGCCGAACTTTGCTGCTGTTTCCTTGCCGTCCACTTCTCTTCCTCCTCCTCCGTCTAGTGGCAACACTTCGAGGTGAGTTGGGTTGTGGGCCCACCGTTTTCCCGTTCGCTGGGCCGCTCACAATCACGTGAGAGGCGCCCCAGAGAAACCGCCATCAGAGGGCGAGCGCCGTCCAGGTTGCATCCCTTTTCGCACGGGAGTTCGGATATTTGGTGTGAATGAGTGATTGAGTGGGTATATGTATGTATGTATGCATGCATGTATGTATCTATGTATGCATGCATGCATGCATGCATGCAATGTAATGTAATGTAATGTAATGTAATGTAATGTAATGTAATGTAATGTAATGTAAGGTAAGGTAAGGTAAGGTAAGGTAAGGTAAGGTAAGGTAAGGTAATGTAAGGTAATGTAATGTATGTATGTATGTATGTATGTATGTATATATGTATATATAACAGCGGGATACTGGGGCTAAAGGCTCCCGGCCAGGTGCCCCGCATCGCCATGGCTGCTCGGGGCCTCTAGGAACCGTCCCGAGTGCCCCCCGACGCTTCCAGAGGCCGCCGGGGCTCGCTCAAGACCGCCCTCGTCGACCCGCGAGCGCTCCAAAACGCGCCAAGATGGCCCGAAGAAGAGCCGCTAGGCCCATAAGACGCCACGAGAGGGCTCCAAGAGGCCCCCCCAAGAGGGCCCCGAGAGGCCAACATCGTTGATTTCTCATTGCTTTGTCCGTATGTGCTGCCTCCTCCTTGTGTCGGCTTCCCGACGCTACAAGGCCGCCCGAGAGGCCCCCAAGTCGTTCGAAGACATTCCAAGAGGCCCCCAAGGGGGCCCAAAAACTGCCAAAGAGAGCCCCAAGACGGCCCCAAAACCGCCCCGGACGGCCCAAGAGGGCCCCAATAGGGCCCCAAGAGGGGCCCAAGAGAGGGAACGCGAACCGAAAAATCGAGCTCTCCGCCCCAAGATGCCCCCAGGAAGCCCTAAGAGGGGAGGAGGGGGTAGTGTCGGACCCCCCCTTTCCTCCCCCTTTGGAAAAGGGAGCCCCAGCCTTGCCCTGGCCCTCGAAGAGGAAGGGGGGGATAGCTTCCAAGCCCCGCCCGTTTACCCAGGAACCCTTCCAGGTACAACATCCAAACAAAAGGAAATGCGGGGGTAGCTTCGTACCCCCCCTCACCTCGAAAAGGGAACGTGGGCTGACCCGAGGCCCCGAAAAAAGGGGAGGGGGGGTAGTTCCCCCCCCCTCCTCTAGCTAAGGCCACCCCCGCTGAAGAATACCCAGAAAAGAGGGGGAGGGGGGGTAGCTTCGGACACCCCTCTTTTCCAAAGGGGGAGCTTGAAGCTGGGGCCCCCATCTTAGCTAGATTGGAATTGGACAACCGGAGCTAATTATATTGGATGGGGGGGAGGACGGCAAAGCGGAGTGAGTGAGGCAATGGGGGATTCGCCGTGGAGAAATTACGGGAACGAAGGGAAGCAGGGGGACGCGCAAGGCGTCGACACATTTGACGCGCACTTCTGCGCAGAACAAGTAATACATGTGGATGCACACACAAGCCCGCGAGCGCTCCTGAAGATATTACCGCTTCTGTTTTAGCAGTTGCGCTTGCTTCCAACGCAAAGGGCGCCGAAACAGAGCACGCGCTGAGCTCGCGCGACTGTTTTTAGTCCATGCATACGTGCGTAGGTGCATCTGTGTAGTCGGGTCACGTGTGTGGGTCGTTGGCCCATCACGCCCCCGTGCATGCGTGGGTCGTGAACTTTTGCGTAGCGAATCCTTCCAGGCTTCCTGGATATTGCTTACTCGTTTGCCTCGCCTCGTTCCTTCTCTCGCCCGGACCGTTGCGCATTGCCATGGCATTATGTTCGAAGTTCGTGTTGCATGCATGTGGTCGGCGGGGCTCTGTTTGTGATTCAAATGTTTTCTTTCTCCCTCCTCTTTCGAGACCTCCATTGTTCTTCTCCCATCTCCAAACCTTCGCGCTCTGGACACAGAGCCGCGATCCCATGGTAAGTTCCGCTCGGGGCATCCGCGCACGGCCGCCCTACATCCGTGGGTTCTCAGCCGAGGAGTCGGGACCGCGAGGACGCGGATATGGGTTCGCCTCCCGCCCACGAATCTCCCCTCGCGTCTCGGGAGGCAGCTGAGCACTACCTCTCGGCGTGCGGGCGTTACTCGCTGACGCCGAACGGCCTGGAGGGGGGCGGGCGGGGGACCAATCGCTCGGCAGGGGACGTCGCGCCGAAAGCAGGTGCGGCTACGCGGCGGAGACGGAGGTGACAGGGGAGTCCAAGGGTGTCCGCGGTTCTGTTAGCTCGGTTGCGTCGCAATCAGTTGCGCTTGGTCGGTTCGGTCCCCTCGCTTGTTATAGCGTTGCTGCGTCTCTGCGTCTTTCTAGGCTGCTTGCGGCCTGCCAGTTTCAATCGGTGTTGGTTTCGCTGTCAGTTCGATCGAATGTTGGTCATGCTATCGCAGTGGATTGCTTTTGATACGCAGTTTTGTTCCATGCCACTTTGCTAGTTGACCCGCCCCCTAGAGGGTCGAAGATCATTCAATCTGCGAGAGATCGATGACATTTTACAACGGCTGCTCTTCTACCCCCTATCGCCCCAGTGGCACGAACAGAGTAAGCACCAGCAGTTATATATACACCTATATTGTCGAATGTCCGCGCGAATGGGATGGGACGGCGACGGCGAGGAGTTAGAGGAGGGGAACGGGGACGGGGTAGGGAGGGAGGGAGAGAGGGAACGGGGACGGGGTAGGGAGTCCAAGGGCAAGGGCAAAGGCAAGAGCAAGGCATCCGGCAAGACGAGCGCCGGGAAGGGCGCTGGCGCACGAGGAAGCGCGAGAGGGTCTGGACGTGGCAGATCCGCCGGAGGCAGGCGGCGAGGGAGGGGGACGTGACGGTGAGGCTGGCCCGTTTGTTCCTGCAGTTCACTCGTGATCTCCCCGCCCCTGATTTCAACTCTTTGCTTTCGTGTGATGATAAACCAGTTTATTTGTTTCACCCGCGTTCGAATTGTGCGACTGTCCCTTCAGGTACCGAGCTGGCCTGGCCAGTCAGGTTTTTGCTTACGATGTTTCATCGAAAGCACGTGTTTTGCATGACACCCAAATCTTCTTTGTCTCACGTTTCTCTTGCCCTTTGGAATTGGGAGCATAAGCTTCGTTGGAGATGGTTTTTCGGATCTAACGCCGAAGACCCAACAGCTGGCGAAAGCTGGTGGCGGTTGCGATCCAAGAAAAGATATTGCAAGCCGTGTGATGTTGTATTGCCTCTGTCTCTGCAGTGCATGGTTGACGCTGTCAGGCGTGAGGTCTGGCAGGCGTGCCTTGTACAGAGCCGGCGTCGCGCTCCGCCAGTGCCCGCAGTGATTAGGCTTGCTCTCTCCCTCCTCCAAAAAACGGGCGTCGGGGCGCTCCCCACAGATAAAGATGCTGGTTTTTGTTTAATCCGCAAGAGCGATTTGCACAATCGCTACATGCATCTATTGTCTGGCCCCGCTTACCGAGTGAAGCTCGCTCCATACAGTTTTGGGGCGACAGTGGTAACTGATTTCATCGAGGCTGTTCGCGAAACGTGCAGGGTTTTAGATGACAGGGCGCTCGAGCGAGCCATGCTTTCGGACGTGGACGCGAGCCGGTGCGAAGACATCGTGTCGCGCGTTGGGGCCACCGTCAAGACGCACAAGCCTCCTGGCAAGGTGGAGTTGCGCCTCCTCCACTGTAGTGTTCGTAATCCGATGGCTCCAGCAATGCCGGTGGATCTCCCACGCGTTGCTCCCATCATCTTAGGCGTGTTCCGTTTCTGGCTCGCGACACCCAGCACCTATTACAGATCATGTCGCGCACAGTCGTGCCAGCCGATTGCCACTTAGTTAAAATAGACATAAAAGAATATTTTATGTCTGGTTTGCATGCCGATCTTGTCACACACTCCTCAGCTTTTTTCGACGGCGTTAAGACGTTTCTGTGAAGCTGACTGCGTGCGATTTTGTATTGAGTACGGGCATAGGGTATAGAAGGTCATCGGCGCTGGCATGCTGCTGACGCAGCGTAGTTGAGCGCGACAGCGTGTCTCAAGATCGGTGAGTTTAGTAGCTTGGCGAGAGCTGGTGCATTCGGGGTCCAGAGCACAGCTGATGCGGCAGATTGCAAGAGCTGTCACGGTGTTTAAGCTAGAAGTTGAGAGTATCGCCTCCGATGAGGTTCAGATGCTCGACGTCGTGTTTTACCGTGGGCCCCGCTGGCGCTCCACGGGCATCATGGATCACCGCATTCATATCTCGCGCAGCATCAGCATGCACCGACAATGTTGTGTTCGGAGCGGCAGCACGCCGACAGTGAGATCAAGAAGTTTTGTAGCATTTTGCGTCAGCATTCCTCACACATCGCACTATTACCACGAATCTTGGGGGTGCGGCCCCCCATTGTTCGCCTCCCTGGCTCGACTGTCCATGAGCAACAGCCTTTGACTCGTATTGTAATGCCGTACTGCTGGCAGGCTGCAGGCGTGCAGCGTGTAGTAAATCGCGAAGCCATGGCGCTCTCAACACGCTTCTCCGCCATAGGCATCGCATGGAGTTTGGGCGACAAGCATCTTGTCTTGTCAAGTCCGAAGCACACACTCGATAGTGGTTGGTTGGTTGGGGCTGGTTGGTGGACGCATTGTCTTGCATTGTCTCGGCATCAGTGCCACAACGTTGACGGCAGGCAACGCATCTCTACATAATAGTGTTTTTGCTCGAACTCGCTGAGCAAGCAAGGATACAGCCAAGGTAGCAGAGTCTTGGCCGAGCACCAAAACATCATCGCCAGAGCGTGTGTGTTGCCCATTCCCTGTTTACGGTAATTCCTTTTACACAGCACCATGTCCGGTGATGAAGCCTCAGCCGCTGCGACGAGTGAACTCCCAGGCGGGAGGACTGCAGGTGGGCGCAGACCGCTGCTAGCGCCAGCGTCTAGCCTGATGTCAGCACCGGCAGATGGGGCCCGTGGAGCCCGGAGCCAGTCCCGTTCTCCGCGGGGGGCTCTGGGCCCCGCTGACGTACAAGGGGCCCGCGCCGCCAGCTCCGACTTCGCAGCTGTGAAGAAGCTAGTGGAAGACGAGTTGAAGGGGTTCCTACCGAATGAGCTGATTAAGAGAATTCAGAAATCCACGAACGATTTGAACGCGAGAATCGCAAGTCTCCAGAAGGTGAACGAGAGGGCGACGAGCACCAAGAGCGATGTGGAAGCTTTGAGTGCTGGCCGGGTCCCTTCTGGGTGTCGACCCTTCACGTTGGCATACGAGTCGCCGTTCTTGGACACAGAGCGCGTCGTTGACCTGAGTTTCCGCCTTGACCTCTCCGGCAAGACGCTGCGGGAGGCGAAGCAAGAGGCCTACTGCGCGCACCTGGCCATTCAGAAGAAACTCGATGTGCTGCTCCTGGCCAAGCAGAGGGACGACCTGCGCAGGCTCACGAAGAGGGATTACTTCGTCGAGACATGCGCGGCCGCCCTGTCCGACCAGACGTCCAGAGTTTCAGGCCTGGACCTCGATCTGGACCTGGACAACGACGACGGCTTCCAGGTCTCCACTGCCGGCGTCGACGCCGAGCGGTTGAAGGCCAAAGCCACCGCCATCTACGCCAAGGCGGTGGCTCGAGCTTCAGACGAGAAGGCTCGCAAGCAGCAGGAGAAGGCCAAGCAGGACCAGGCCCAGGAGAAGCTGATCCAGCAGATGATGGGGACGAGCCCTGCGGACCTCTTCAACATGGCCGTGGATGCTCGTGTGATCGCTCGCCAGCGCGTGCCTGGCCGAGCAGGTCCGGCAGGTGGCGGCACCATAGCCGCCCAGGCGGCATCCCTGTACACCTCCACCATGGCCGCTGGCCAGTCCTCTGTCGACCGCGCCGACGCCGTACGCTTTGCTGCCTTATCAAAAAACGGCACGTCCCCGCCCGGACAGGGCGGGGGCAAGGACAAAGGCAAAGGCAAAGGGCGAGGCGACCCGAAGGGCAAGTCCAAGGGCAACGGGAAAGCCACGCCCTCCCCCAAGGGCGAGTCAAAGGGCAAGTCCAAGGGCAAGGGCAAAGGCAAGAGCAAGGCATCCGGCAAGACGAGCGCCGGGAAGGGCGCTGGCGCACGAGGAAGCGCGAGAGGGTCTGGACGTGGCAGATCCGCCGGAGGCAGGCGGCGAGGGAGGGGGACGTGACGGTGAGGCTGGCCCGTTTGTTCCTGCAGTTCACTCGTGATCTCCCCGCCCCTGATTTCAACTCTTTGCTTTCGTGTGATGATAAACCAGTTTATTTGTTTCACCCGCGTTCGAATTGTGCGACTGTCCCTTCAGGTACCGAGCTGGCCTGGCCAGTCAGGTTTTTGCTTACGATGTTTCATCGAAAGCACGTGTTTTGCATGACACCCAAATCTTCTTTGTCTCACGTTTCTCTTGCCCTTTGGAATTGGGAGCATAAGCTTCGTTGGAGATGGTTTTTCGGATCTAACGCCGAAGACCCAACAGCTGGCGAAAGTTGGTGGCGGTTGCGATCCAAGAAAAGATATTGCAAGCCGTGTGATGTTGTATTGCCTCTGTCTCTGCAGTGCATGGTTGACGCTGTCAGGCGTGAGGTCTGGCAGGCGTGCCTTGTACAGAGCCGGCGTCGCGCTCCGCCAGTGCCCGCAGTGATTAGGCTTGCTCTCTCCCTCCTCCAAAAAACGGGCGTCGGGGCGCTCCCCACAGATAAAGATGCTGGTTTTTGTTTAATCCGCAAGAGCGATTTGCACAATCGCTACATGCATCTATTGTCTGGCCCCGCTTACCGAGTGAAGCTCGCTCCATACAGTTTTGGGGCGACAGTGGTAACTGATTTCATCGAGGCTGTTCGCGAAACGTGCAGGGTTTTAGATGACAGGGCGCTCGAGCGAGCCATGCTTTCGGACGTGGACGCGAGCCGGTGCGAAGACATCGCGTCGCGCGTTGGGGCCACCGTCAAGACGCACAAGCCTCCTGGCAAGGTGGAGTTGCGCCTCCTCCACTGTAGTGTTCGTAATCCGATGGCTCCAGCAATGCGGTGGATCTCCCACGCGTTGCTCCCTCATCTTAGGCGCGTTCCGTTTCTGGCTCGCGACACCCAGCACCTATTACAGATCATGTCGCGCGCAGTCGTGCCAGCCGATTGCCACTTAGTTAAAATAGACATAAAAGAATATGTTATGTCTGGTTTGCATGCCGATCTTGTCACACACTCCTCAGCTTTTTTCGACGGCGTCCAACAAGACGCATGCGCCAAGCTGCTGCGTGCGATTTTGGATTGCCAGTACGTGGCGTGCCCCACAGCGCCCGACAAGGTCTGGAAGGTCACCGTCGGCGCTGGCATGGGACTCCCTTGTAGTGGGGAGGTTGCTGACGCAGCGTATTTCAATCAAGTTGAGCGCGACAGCGTGTCTCAAGATCGTTTCTGTGAGTTGCACGGCATAGTAGCTTATATTAGGTATCGTGACGACATTATGCTGGTGCATTCGGGGTCCAGAGCACAGCTCGATGCCCTTATTGGCAGATTGCAAGAGCTGTCTACGGTGTTTAAGCTAGAAGTTGAGAGTATCGCCTCCGATGAGGTTCAGATGCTCGACGTCGTGTTTTACCGTGGGCCCCGCTGGCGCTCCACGGGCATCATGGATCACCGCATTCATATCAAGCGGTCGTCTTTGTGGATCCCCCTCAGCGATCGCAGCATGCATCCCGCCGGCGTGCACCGAGCATGGCCGCTCGCACACGCGCTCCGCGTGCGCCGTTTGTGTTCGGAGCGGCAGCACGCCGACAGTGAGATCAGAAGTTTTGTAGCATTTTGCGTCAGCATTCCTCACACATCGCACTATTACCACGAATCTTGGGGGTGCGGCCCCCCATTGTTCGCCTCCCTGGCTCGACTGTCCATGAGCAACAGCCTTTGACTCGTATTGTAATGCCGTACTGCAGCCAGTGGCAGGCTGCAGGCGTGCAGCGTGTAGTAAATCGCGCTGTGAAGCCATGGCGCTCTCAACACGGAGGCTTCTCCGCCATAGGCATCGCATGGAGTTTGGGCGACAAGCATCTTGTCCAGATTGTCAAGTCGTATAACAGCTCTCTCGAAGAAGGGGGCTGCGGCTTGCGCATTTTATGCACTGCGACTCGATAGTGGTTGGTTGGTTGGGGCTGGTTGGTGGACGCATTGTCTTGCATTGTCTTCTCGGCATCAGTGCCACAACGTTGACGGCAGGCAGCGCATCTCTACATAATAGTGTTTTTGCTCGAACTCGCTGAGCAAGCAAGGATACAGCCAAGGTAGCAGAGTCTTGGCCGAGCACCAAAACATCATCGCCAGAGCGTGTGTGTTGCCCATTCCCTGTTTACGGTAATTCCTTTTACACAGCACCATGTCCGGTGATGAAGCCTCAGCCGCTGCGACGAGTGAACTCCCAGGCGGGAGGACTGCAGGTGGGCGCAGACCGCTGCTAGCGCCAGCGTCTAGCCTGATGTCAGCACCGGCAGATGGGGCCCGTGGAGCCCGGAGCCAGTCCCGTTCTCCGCGGGGGGCTCTGGGCCCCGCTGACGTACAAGGGGCCCGCGCCGCCAGCTCCGACTTCGCAGCTGTGAAGAAGCTAGTGGAAGACGAGTTGAAGGGGTTCCTACCGAATGAGCTGATTAAGAGAATTCAGAAATCCACGAACGATTTGAACGCGAGAATCGCAAGTCTCCAGAAGGTGAACGAGAGGGCGACGAGCACCAAGAGCGATGTGGAAGCTTTGAGTGCTGGCCGGGTCCCTTCTGGGTGTCGACCCTTCACGTTGGCATACGAGTCGCCGTTCTTGGACACAGAGCGCGTCGTTGACCTGAGTTTCCGCCTTGACCTCTCCGGCAAGACGCTGCGGGAGGCGAAGCAAGAGGCCTACTGCGCGCACCTGGCCATTCAGAAGAAACTCGATGTGCTGCTCCTGGCCAAGCAGAGGGACGACCTGCGCAGGCTCACGAAGAGGGATTACTTCGTCGAGACATGCGCGGCCGCCCTGTCCGACCAGACGTCCAGAGTTTCAGGCCTGGACCTCGATCTGGACCTGGACAACGACGACGGCTTCCAGGTCTCCACTGCCGGCGTCGACGCCGAGCGGTTGAAGGCCAAAGCCACCGCCATCTACGCCAAGGCGGTGGCTCGAGCTTCAGACGAGAAGGCTCGCAAGCAGCAGGAGAAGGCCAAGCAGGGCCAGGCCCGGGAGAAGCTGATCCAGCAGATGATGGGGACGAGCCCTGCGGACCTCTTCAACATGGCCGTGGATGCTCGTGTGATCGCTCGCCAGCGCGTGCCTGGCCGAGCAGGTCCGGCAGGTGGCGGCACCATAGCCGCCCAGGCGGCATCCCTGTACACCTCCACCATGGCCGCTGGCCAGTCCTCTGTCGACCGCGCCGACGCCGTACGCTTTGCTGCCTTATCAAAAAACGGCACGTCCCCGCCCGGACAGGGCGGGGGCAAGGACAAAGGCAAAGGCAAAGGGCGAGGCGACCCGAAGGGCAAGTCCAAGGGCAACGGGAAAGCCACGCCCTCCCCCAAGGGCGAGTCAAAGGGCAAGTCCAAGGGCAAGGGCAAAGGCAAGAGCAAGGCATCCGGCAAGACGAGCGCCGGGAAGGGCGCTGGCGCACGAGGAAGCGCGAGAGGGTCTGGACGTGGCAGATCCGCCGGAGGCAGGCGGCGAGGGAGGGGGACGTGACGGTGAGGCTGGCCCGTTTGTTCCTGCAGTTCACTCGTGATCTCCCCGCCCCTGATTTCAACTCTTTGCTTTCGTGTGATGATAAACCAGTTTATTTGTTTCACCCGCGTTCGAATTGTGCGACTGTCCCTTCAGGTACCGAGCTGGCCTGGCCAGTCAGGTTTTTGCTTACGATGTTTCATCGAAAGCACGTGTTTTGCATGACACCCAAATCTTCTTTGTCTCACGTTTCTCTTGCCCTTTGGAATTGGGAGCATAAGCTTCGTTGGAGATGGTTTTTCGGATCTAACGCCGAAGACCCAACAGCTGGCGAAAGCTGGTGGCGGTTGCGATCCAAGAAAAGATATTGCAAGCCGTGTGATGTTGCATTGCCTCTGTCTCTGCAGTGCATGGTTGACGCTGTCAGGCGTGAGGTCTGGCAGGCGTGCCTTGTACAGAGCCGGCGTCGCGCTCCGCCAGTGCCCGCAGTGATTGGGCTTGCTCTCTCCCTCCTCCAAAAAACGGGCGTCGGGGCGCTCCCCACAGATCAAGATGCTGGTTTTTGTTTAATCCTTCGAGCGATTTGCACAATCGCTACATGCATCTATTGTCTGGCCCCGCTTACCGAGTGAAGCTCGCTCCATGCAGTTTTGGGGCGACAGTGGCAACTGATTTCATCGAGGCTGTTCGCGAAACGTGCAGGGTTTTAGATGACAGGGCGCTCGAGCGAGCCATGCTTTCGGACGTGGACGCGAGCCGGTGCGAAGACATCGTGTCGCGCGTTGGGGCCACCGTCAAGACGCACAAGCCTCCTGGCAAGGTGGAGTTGCGCCTCCTCCACTGTAGTGTTCGTAATCCGATGGCTCCAGCAATGCGGTGGATCTCCCACGCGTTGCCCCCTCATCTTAGGCGCGTTCCGTTTCTGGCTCGCGACACCCAGCACCTATTGCAGATCATGTCGCGCACAGTCGTGCCAGCCGATTGCCACTTAGTTAAAATAGACATAAAAGAATATTTTATGTCTGGTTTGCATGCCGATCTTGTCACACACTCCTCAGCTTTTTTCGACGGCGTCCAACAAGACGCATGCGCCAAGCTGCTGCGTGCGATTTTGGATTGCCAGTACGTGGCGTGCCCCACAGCGCCCGACAAGGTCTGGAAGGTCACCGTCGGCGCTGGCATGGGACTCCCATGTAGTGGGGAGGTTGCTGACGCAGCGTATTTCAATCAAGTTGAGCGCGACAGCGTGTCTCAAGATCGTTTCTGTGAGTTGCACGGCATAGTAGCTGAGATTAGGTATCGTGACGACATTATGCTGGTGCATTCGGGGTCCAGAGCACAGCTCGATGCCCTTATTGGCAGATTGCAAGAGCTGTCTACGGTGTTTAAGCTAGAAGTTGAGAGTATCGCCTCCGATGAGGTTCAGATGCTCGACGTCGTGTTTTACCGTGGGCCCCGCTGGCGCTCCACGGGCATCATGGATCACCGCATTCATATCAAGCGGTCGTCTTTGTGGATCCCCCTCAGCGATCGCAGCATGCATCCCGCCGGCGTGCACCGAGCATGGCCGCTCGCACACGCGCTCCGCGTGCGCCGTTTGTGTTCGGAGCGGCAGCACGCCGACAGTGAGATCAAGAAGTTTTGTAGCATTTTGCGTCAGCATTCCTCACACATCGCACTATTACCACGAATCTTGGGGGTGCGGCCCCCCATTGTTCGCCTCCCTGGCTCGACTGTCCATGAGCAACAGCCTTTGACTCGTATTGTAATGCCGTACTGCAGCCAGTGGCAGGCTGCAGGCGTGCAGCGTGTAGTAAATCGCGCTGCGAAGCCATGGCGCTCTCAACACGGAGGCTTCTCCGCCATAGGCATCGCATGGAGTTTGGGCGACAAGCATCTTGTCCAGATTGTCAAGTCGTATAACAGCTCTCTCGAAGAAGGGGGCTGCGGCTTGCGCATTTTATGCACTGCGACTCGATAGTGGTTGGTTGGTTGGGGCTGGTTGGTGGACGCATTGTCTTGCATTGTCTTCTCGGCATCAGTGCCACAACGTTGACGGCAGGCAGCGCATCTCTACATAATAGTGTTTTTGCTCGAACTCGCTGAGCAAGCAAGGATACAGCCAAGGTAGCAGAGTCTTGGCCGAGCACCAAAACATCATCGCCAGAGCGTGTGTGTTGCCCATTCCCTCTTTCGAGACCTCCATTGTTCTTCTCCCATCTCCAAACCTTCGCGCTCTGGACACAGAGCCGCGATCCCATGGTAAGTTCCGCTCGGGGCATCCGCGCACGGCCGCCCTACATCCGTGGGTTCTCAGCCGAGGAGTCGGGACCGCGAGGGCGCGGATATGGGTTCGCCTCCCGCCCACGAATCTCCCCTCGCGTCTCGGGAGGCAGCTGAGCACTACCTCTCGGCGTGCGGGCGTTACTCGCTGACGCCGAACGGCCTGGAGGGGGGCGGGCGGGGGACCAATCGCTCGGCAGGGGACGTCGCGCCGAAAGCAGGTGCGGCTACGCGGCGGAGACGGAGGTGACAGGGGAGTCCAAGGGTGTCCGCGGTTCTGTTAGCTCGGTTGCGTCGCAATCAGTTGCGCTTGGTCGGTTCGGCCCCCTCGCTTGTTATAGCGTTGCTGCGTCTCTGCGTCTTTCTAGGCTGCTTGCGGCCTGCCAGTTTCAATCGGTGTTGGTTTCGCTGTCAGTTCGATCGAATGTTGGTCATGCTATCGCAGTGGATTGCTTTTGATACGCAGTTTTGTTCCATGCCACTTTGCTAGTTGACCCGCCCCCTAGAGGGTCGAAGATCATTCAATCTGCGAGAGATCGATGACAATTTACAACGGCTGCTCTTCTACCCCCTATCGCCCCAGTGGCACGAACAGAGTAAGCACCAGCAGTTATATATACACCTATATTGTCGAATGTCCGCGCGAATGGGATGGGACGGCGACGGCGAGGAGTTAGAGGAGGGGAACGGGGACGGGGTAGGGAGGGAGGGAGAGAGGGAGGGATGGAGGGAACGACCAGCAAGAGGCCGAGCAGGATGAGGAGGGGGGGAATAGTAGCCAGCCATATGGCAGTCATTGCAGGGGAGGTGGTTCCTTGCTGTGCCTCTCGATGGGGCTTGCGATGTTGGAGGCCGACGACACGCTGACCAATCTGGCGGGGAGTGGGCGACGAATGGAGGGTGAGGGCGAAGGGAGAACGAGAGCGGGGGGGGGAGACGGGATGGATGGGAGGGGAGGGGGGATGGGGAGACGAGGGCAGATGGGAGGGGAGGGGGGAAGGGGAGAAGAGGGACGGGCAGGGGGGAGCCCGCAACGGTCAAGCAGGCAGGCAGAGAGAGCAGGGGGGAGGGGGAGGAGGAGGAGGAGGAGGAGGAGGAGGAGGAGGTCTCGGAGGAGGAGGAGTGGGCCCAGAGCGTTGCAGGTCGCAACGTCGATGTCGCAAGATATGTCTGGGGAGGCGGTGGATTGGCGGAGGGTTTCGAGTACTAGTGTGTGTGTGTGTGTGTCTGTGTGTGTGCCTGTGTCTGTGTCTGTGTCTGTGTATGTGTCTGTGTCTGTGTCTGTGTCTGTGTCTGTGTGTGCGTCTGTGTGTGTGAGCGCGTGCTGGCGTGGGGTGTGGTCTTCCATTGGCTGTTGGGTCGGAGGACCTCGCCCGTGCTTCACGCCCCCCCCCAACCAGCCGTGCCTCAGCGCGGCGAGCAGGCCTATTGCCTGCAGCCGTGCGCCGCTAGAGAAAAGGCGTGCCCAGGGAAGACTTGGTGGTCAATATCACGGGTCATGATGTCATGGGCGCCCCTTCCCTTCCCTTCCTGACCATTTGCCTGTCCACCACTGTGGAGCAAGCAGCAGTTGGGTTGGACACGTTCGCTCTCTATCTCCCTTCCCTGCGTTACCCCCTTCCCCTCCTTTCCGTGGCACCTTCCTTGAGCTCGCGCGGCTGATTTGTCTTTCGCGCGCGTATACTTAGAAGTGCAGCCTGTCCGGTGACCACGGTTTGCTGCGCGTGCGTGTGCAAGTCCTAATGCTGCGGCTTCAGACTGAGACCTTGATGGTGGGGCTTGTGTTAATTGTGAGCGCTCGGCTGTTTGAGCGTTTTTGCGTGCGTTTGTTTGCCGTGCGGCCTCGTGCCTGTATTTCCCGGAAAGGCGTCGGTCGGCCCAGGGTTTTCTTTTGGAGGTTAACCCCCCAGCCTCGAGTTGAAGGAGGCCGGCATAATTATTCTGCGTTAAATGACGTGGTCGGAGAGGGCCGACGATTTTTTCAGGATGGCCCGAGCGAAACGCCTGGTTCGAATGCATCTGTTGAGGATATTTTTGCCCCGGACTTCAGCAGCGGCAGCAGCCGCCCGGCGGGGACGGCCTGTTTCGCTTGCGCCGGCGCCCGGCCCTCGAAGGTACGGGCGAGTGCCTGCGCGAGCGCCTGAGTCCGCTGTTCGTGTCTGCGCAGGGCCGCCCAGCGCTCGAAGCGGGCGCCTTACAGGCCTGGGCCCGAGGCTGCCTGCCACCGCCTCGGCGGCCTCGGCCATCCGAGGCGCCGCGGGTTGCGCCAGGGGCGGCGGCGGCGGGTGGGCCCCGGAGGTCGCCTCAGGGAAGAGGGCGGCCAGGTCGCGGTCCACCTCGGGCCCGGTCGCCAGCTGGCAAGGCCCAGCGGCCGCCTCAGCCGCGCGGCCCACCTCCCCGAGCACGATGAGCTCGCGCACCCGTCGAGCCACCTCTTCCGGCTCACGCTGCCCCATGCGGTATTATCCCGGTTCTGTGGGTCGCGCGGTCGCGGCCCACAGTGGCGCCCAGTCTCCCGCCCAAGCCCGGCGATGGCGTCGCGGCAGCGCACTTTCGAGGCCGACGGCCGCTCGTCGCTGCCGGTGGCCGCGGGCACCGCGAACGGCAGCCTCGGGAGCAGGAGCAGCCGGGCCCGCGCCGCCTCTTTCGCGGGGCGCGCGGCGACGGCGCGCAACGCCGCGGCGAGCACGTCCGCGACCGCCGTGACGAGGGTCGGGGGCGTCGCCGCCCACGTGGGCACGGGGTCCCGCGAGGCACCGTTCAAGTCGAAACCGGCGGAAGCGGGCCAGCGCGTGCCGCGGGTGGACGTCGTTGGCGGGCGCGCCGTCCTCCTCGCGCGGTGCCGCCCCCAGCGAAAGCGCCGTGCAAGCGAAGATCTCCACGCGAGCCGTCTCTGGCAGCGCCGCCAAGCCCTCTGCCGAGCCCAGGGGCACGCCGCCTGCGATGCATGCTGGGTGTCGAACTGCCGGTCTCGGCTTGCCCGGCTCGCAAGGCGCACTGCCCCTGGTTCGAATCCCGAGCAGCACGTGCAGCATGCCGCCACGTGCTTCCGAGGGGCCTTCCAGGTGGCTACCCAAGCGCGCACCCTGGGGGTGCGCCCCACAGCAACGGCGGGTGGCGCAGCAGCGGCGGCAGTAGACGCGGCGCCGGCCGCGCTCTCAGGGGCAGCAGTGGCGCCAGGTGCACCGCCGAGTTGGGCTGCTCCGGGAGGCGCGACAGCGGCCGCTCCATCCCCGTTCTCCATATCCTGATCCCAACCCCGCCCGGCGGCATCCAGGATCTTCCACGTTTTCCCCCAAGGTTGGGGCAGGAAGGCGAAGGAGGTGAGAGGTGACGAGCGGGTGAAGAGGGAGGGCCCTGCCAGGCAACGGCTGCGCGCGACTTGATCGCTTCTCTTCTCGACTAGACGTAAGAGTGACCCTTCGCCAAAGTAACCTTTGGTGCGGGGCTATTGGGGTCCCCCGATTGTCGGACGCGATGCGACAGGAGCGTCTTGTGCGCTTTTGTTTGGTCCCGCCGTGGCCCCCAAAAAGCCCCGCGCCAAAGGTCACTCTTACCCAGGGTCAGTGTTGCGTGTAGCCGATCCTCCTCCTCCTCAAATGCACACCGCTCCCCTCATTGTCAGATTGCGCGAAACACGATGGGGTCTTTTTAGGTGTTCCAGGTCCGATATTGCTCTCG